GAACTTGAGCAAAAAGTCTCCTGTGACTACTTTTTAAAAAATATTAATTTATTTATTTCAGAGAGAAAGAAAGAGGGAGGGAGAGAGAACACGAGTAAGAGCTGGGGGATGAGCAGAGGGGAGGCAGAAGGAGTGGGAAAGAATCTCAAGCAGATCCCTGAGGAGTGCAGAGCCCAACATGGGGCTAGATCCCACAACCCTGAGATCATGACCTGAGCCAAAATCAAGAGTCCAATGTTCAACGGAGCCACCCAGGTGCCCCTCCTGTGATGATTTTATGTACACAGTTACTTCCTGGAAATATTATCACCCTTTTTTAGAGCTCTGGGCCAGAAGAGAGAGAACCTATTTTTCTTTCTACATCAGCAACTTGGGGGTATTTTCTTGTTCAAGGAAGAAAATAAGCAGGTTTGAAACTCCATTGCCAGATATGTTCCTTCTGAGGTATCACATACACTTAACAACTACTACAGCTCGGTATCCCGTGAAAGATAGACAAAGAATGAATTTCTAACTACAATATCACTGTAGCATTGCAAGATGCAGACCATCTGGCCCTGAAAGTAGACCAAATGGTATAATAAATATCAGAGAAGATTTTTCAAAGTTGAGGATTAAATTATGTTATGTGAAAGTGAAGTTTAAAATAAGGCTAGGCAGGGGTGCCTGGGTGGCTCAGTGGGTTAAACGTCTGCCTTCGGCTCAGGTCATGATCCCAGCGTCCTGGGATTGAGCCCCGCATGGAGCCCCACATGGAGCCCCGCATCGTGTTCCGTGCTCAGCAGGGAGCCTGCTTCTCCCTCTCCCTCTGTCTGCCTACTTGTGATCTCTCTGTCAAATAAATAAATATAATATTTAAAAATAAAATAAAATAAGGCTAGGCATCAGAAAAATGGGTTTGACCAATTTAAATCTTAGAGATAAATAACCATCTCATCACACACACACAAATAAATGGTAACTCTGTGAGGTGATGGATGTGTTAACTAACTTAATTGTGGTAATCATTTCACAAGATATACAAATGTCAAATCATCACATTGTATATCTTAACTTACACAAAGTTATTTGTCAATTATATCTCAATAAAACTAGGGGAAAAAAGAAAGAAATACCATGGACCAATTTAAAGAATACAAAAAAACCCCACAATACAAAAACAAAACACAATTAAGGAAAAGAGACATTTCCTTAAATTCAAAGGTCCCATCACTGATTTTACACACACAATTTAGATTCTGCTTTTTCATTTAAAAGTTTATTCTAGAATATCACTCTTCTAACTGTAAAACAAACATCTAAACCATGAGATCCTTGAGGACAGAAACCAGATATCATTAATGTCTGAATACCCATTTACATTGTAAATGGTGTAGATTAAATATTTTTATTTAGGTAAATAATGATATAAAACTCAAATGTCTTTAATCTAAAACTCAAATTTCTTTAAACACATTATTTCAAGTTACTATATTTTTGTCTGGAGTACAGGTCTGAAATGATACAAATTGCACCCAAATATCAAACCATAAGTTAAGCAAATTGAGTAGAAAAAAAATTCTCCTGGGCGCCTGGGTAGCTCAGTTGGTTACGCAACTGCCTTCAGCTCAGGTCATGATCCTGGAGTCCGGGGATCGAGTCCCACATCGGGCTCCCTGATCAGCAGGGAGTCTGCTTCTCCCTCTGACCCTCCCCCATCTCATGCTCTCTCTCTCTCTCATTCTCTCTCTCAAATAAATAAATAAAATCTTTAAAAAAGAAAAAAGAAAAAAGAAAAAAATTCTCCTTAGATTTCCATCTCTCTTATCTGCCTCAAACTATTTCTATTGAAGATATTTAGTTAAACCTTTGATGGACAACATGTAGAAAGGTCTGCCTACAACTGGGCTGAGACAAGCTTATAGGTGCTGGGCAGGGGGGCCGTGGACTCTGAAGAGGTCCATTTCCTTTTTTTTTTTTTTAAGATTTTATTTATTTATTTGACAGAAGAGAGACACAGTGAGAGAGGGAACACAAGCAGGGGGAGAGGGAGAAGCAGGCTCCCCGCTGAGCAGGGAGCCTGACCTGGGGTTCGATCCCAGGACCCTGAGATTATGACCTGAGCCAAAGGCCAACGCTTAATGACTGAGCCACCCAGGTGCCCCTGAAGAGGTCCACTTCCTGCTGGAAGCCAGTTCTGTTCTCTATTCTGCTTTAATCCAAGTCTGCTTGGATGAAACCCCACTAAGTAGCTACTGACCATTTAAGTATGAAATTTATAGGGTGCCTGGGTGGCTCAGTTGGTTGAGCGACTGCCTTCAGCTCAGGTCATGATCCTGGAGTCCTGGGATCGAGTCCCACATCAGGCTCCCTGCTCGGCGGGGAGTCTGCTTCTCCCTCTGACCCTCCCCCTCTCATGTGCTCTCTCTCTCTCATTCTCTCTCTCAAATAAAAAAATAAAATCTTAAAAAAAAAAAAGAAATTTATAGAACAGGGCACCTGGATGGCTCAGTCGGCTGGGCGGCCAACTCTTGATTTTGGCTCAGGTTATGATCTCAGTGTCCTGGGATCGAGCCCTGCGTCAGGCTCCTTGCTCAATGAGGAGTCTGCTTGAGGATTTTCTATTCTCTCTCCCTCTCCCTCTGCCCCTTTCCCCCCCGCCCCTGCTTGTGCTCATGCATGTGCTCTCTAAAATAAATAAATCTTTAAAAAAAAGAACAAATGTATAAGTAACTTAAAAGTAAAGTAGAAAAATGGTTTTCTTTTAAAGAAAAAGCAGATGGAAGAGCAGCCATTGCTCTTGAGCACATAAAGCACAACACGAGCCTCCTTTCCCCAGATGCCTGCCACAATCCCCATTTGTCAACATCTCATTTCTCCGACCCTCTTGTTTCTGGCTCTCTGGCTAGAGTTACCACAGAAGCTTCATGGATAGCAAAAAGCTAAAGGAAACTGGAGATTCCACACAAGATTTCCAAAGGTGATAGACACACATGGTGGAGACTATTATTAAGACTGTTAGCCTGCTTGCTTTCAGCTTTACAGGCTTCTTTTTTTTTTTTTTTAAAGATTTTATTTATTTATTTGAGAGAGAGAGTGAGAGAGAGAGAGAGCACATGAGAGGGGGGAGGGTCAGAGGGAGAAGCAGACTCCCTGCCGAGCAGGGAGCCCGATGCGGGACTCGATCCCGGGACTCCAGGATCATGACCTGAGCCGAAGGCAGTCGCCTAACCAACTGAGCCACCCAGGCGCCCCAGCTTTACAGGCTTCTTAAGAACACTTTTTATTGAGAGAAATTCTGCCGGTCTTAGAGCAGCAAGGAATAATGAGGCTTACTTTAGTTGTAACAAGAATGACTGTCTATCTCATATGGCCAAAGAACAGGTATTCCTCTCCAAGTCTGCGGGGATCAGATGAACTAGGGTTTTTCTGTTTTTGTTTTCTGGGTTTTTGTCTTCAGTGATTAACACATATGATATGGTTTAATAAAATTGCTTTGCTTATGTTTCATTGCTTTATAAATTCACACCTCATATGCAGTCATCAGTAAAACTCCCTGATGGCCAATACCGAATTTAGAAGGTTCGAACATTATAAAAGAATGACAAGGAGTTATAGACCCTGAGGTAAATTTCAGGATAGGTCAGCCCTATTCACTGTGGAGTGCAAGTACTAAGTTCTGTCTAGTTCTGCCTGAGAGGAGAGCACGTCATCTCTGAGTACTGTCATTGACCACCAAACAATGAACAAAAGTTCCCTTGGCTTTGGCACTTTATGTTGCCCTGGAAGGGTTTCTGACTGGTGAGTGGCAGAGAGGACAATGAATAATCCAAAATGCATCAACAGCCTCATTCCATTCGTCCATTCCTCAATCTAAAGCCCAGTAGATGCGGTACCTGGGGGGCTCAGTTGGTTGAGCGTCTACCTTCGGCTCAGGTCATGATCCTAGGATCCTGAGCTCGAGCCCATGTCAGGCTCCCTGCTGGGTGGGGAGTCTGCTTCTCCCTCCGCCAATGACCCTCATGCCTGCTCCTCCCCTCACTCATGCTCTCTCTCTCTTAAATGAATAAATAAAAAATCTTAAAAAAAAAAATAAAGCCCAGCAGAGGGGAAGCTTTTGGGGAGGGGAGAAGAGGGAAAGTTGGTACAGATGAAGGCTGTGCTACTTCCCAAAGGCCTGATGCTGTAGGCCACACCTAACTAAGAGTGCAGAATTTGATCCCACTTTGAAAATGAATGCCAATAAGAATAGAGCATCTTGAACTATGAATCTATCCTGAAATTAATAATACACAATACGTTAACTAACTTGAATTTAAATAAAACCCTCAAAAGATGCTTTCTAAATATATATATATCTAAATATATACCTATATCTAAATATATACATGAACATATACGTAGCCATCAGAAAGGATGAATACCTACCATTTGCATCCATGGATGGAACTGAAGGGGATTATGCTAAGTGAAATAAGTCAAGCAGAGAAAGTCAATTATCATACGGTTTCACTCATATGTGGAACCTAAGGAATAGCGCAGAGGACCACAGGTGAAGGGAGAGAAAACTGAATGGGAAGAAATCAGAGAGGGAGACAAACAATGAGAGACTCTGGACTCTGGGAAACAAACAGGGTTACAGAAGGGAGGGGGTGGGAGGATGGGGTAACTGGGTGATGGGTATTAAGGAGGGCACGTGTTGTGATGAGCACTGGGTGTTATTCACAACCAATGAATCGTTGAACACTACACCAAAAACTAATGATGTACTATATGTTGGCTAACTGAACATAGTAAAAAAAATAAAAAATAAAAAACAAACACATATATATCTAAATATATATATATAGAGAGAGAGAGAGAGGAGAGAGAGAGAGAGAGAGCATCTTGGGAAAATGCAGGACACTTATTCCGAAATTGTAATTCAAGAATGTGGAAGTCACACCACTATGGTATATTGTCCTCTTAAAAATCTAGATGGGTATTTGGGATTTCAAGCACCACACAAAAACTTTTTAAAAACTTTAATTGCCTAGTATAGTGAACATGTTAAGTAGAGTTTTAAAGACACCCTACATCTCAAATGGGTTAAGCCATAATTTATGACCATCTTCACGAAACATGGTTAACTCTTTCTGGTGATACGAGATTAAACATGAAACCAAACTGTTTTACTCACGACAGGTAACCGACTAAACTGCATGTACATGTACAGCTTTATACCAAAGCCGTGATATAACTATATTTGCCATTTCAGATCAGGGTCATAGGCCACCCACTCACTATGTATATCCCACCAAACACAAGAGCAGCCATCTTTGTTTTAATACAATTATGGGTAGAAATCATATGATGTAAAATAGAAGTTCTTCTGTGAAGTTTAGAGTAGAAGAAGGGAAGACAAAAAATTCCCATGAAGTAAAAAATAACTCCACATTGGTCCAGGACTCCATGAAACCTGAGATAAACTGTAGTCCTCTAAGGCCTTTACTTGGATCCAGTTCACCAAGACACTTCAGTATGCTTCAACCTGGCTCATCATCATTCTCCTGCTATATTCATAAGCCAAAAATAGTGACCCATTGGCAGGGAATGCTCGAATCATAGTAGCGGTCAGTCCAGAATATAAGGCTGCTGTTCCTTCATTTTTCACAATACTTATAAGAGTTCCCAGAAATCCAGCCTGTTTTCCAGACATGGAAAGAACCTGAATTCTGGATTTGATACAATCCACTGGGTAGATGACAAGCCAAAGACAAATTCCAGCAATTCCACCACTTAACATCAAAGGGACAGGGCCTAGTTCATCTTTTGATCTCCCCGAGGCAAAAAATGATCTACTCAGTTCATAGCCACCGAAGAAGAAGAAATAGCCCGGTACTTCTTGAAGAAGAGTGCTCGAGAGTCCTTGGTAGAAGCCCAAGGGGCCTTCCTTTCTAAGGATACTCTTCACGACGGACCAGATTGTATTTTGGCTTTTTGCTATTTTCCCGGACATCTCCATTTCGTACATGGTCTGCAGGCGGCACTTGACAAGCTCAGTGGGGCACAGGGCCAGCGCAGCAAACGCGGAGGCGAAGGAACCCGCAGCTGCCGTCTGCAGATCACTCAGCCTCGCCTGCGTGTCCAGTCCAACCACTTTCCTCACAAGCTCTTGGCAGAAGCCGTAGCACATGAAGAGGACAGAGTTCTCGGCGACGTAGGCCATCAGCGCAGGGCCGGTTCCTTTGTAGAAGCCCCGCAGGCCCACTTGGGAGTACGTTTTCAGGCAGCAGTCGGTGAGGCCCTTGTACAGGCCGGGGAACGTCTGCATCTTCACTTTCACTGTGTCGAAAGGCTGCCCGGTCAGGACACAAGCCGTGCCCCCGACCGCGCCCGCTGTCAGGTCGATGGCGGCTTGGACGGCAGCATTGGACTTCATGTTCTCACGCTCTTCTGCTGGTCTCTGTGGGAGCCGACGCTCTGGAGCTCAGGGCAGGTGTCTCATGCCCAGCCGCCCGTTCTCGACTCTCCGTCCTCGGCGGGAGAAGCCGCTTAACCCCAGGCTGGGTCTCGGGCCGCTCTCCGCGCGCTCGCAAATAACCCCCCGCCGGCCCGCTCACGCCCGCCGCTCCCAGGCCCGGCCCCCGCCCGCCGCCGCCGCCGCCGCCGCCCCCGCCGCCGCCCCCGCCGCCGCCCGGCGCCCGCCGGCCCGGGACACCCGCTAAGTACACACCTTGTTTTTCTTTTCTTTTTTTAAAGATTTTATTCGTTTATTTGAGAGAGAGAATGAAATAGAGCATGAGAGCGGGGAGGGTCAGAGGGAGAAGCAGGGAGCCCGATGCGGGACTCGATCCCGGGACTCCAGGATCATGACCCGAGCCGAAGGCAGTCGCCCAACCGACTGAGCCACCCAGGCGCCCACACACCTTGTTTTTCTTAAGTAGGCCCCACGCTGGGGCCCAACGCCGGGCTTGAACTCACGGCAGCGAGATGGAGACCTGAGCTGAGCTCAAAGAGTCCGCCGCTTAACCGACTGAGCCCCCCAAGCGCCCGGTAACGGCACACTTTTAATGAATTATAATACAGCGATTGAAAGCTAGTCGATAAATTCTTGCACTTCCGGCCAGAGGCTCTAGACGCCGCTGTTAACCGGCCGCGAAAGAAATGCTTTCGTTTTCCGCTAGGACTCCCCTCCCCCTCTCCCCACATCTTACCAGGCAAAACAAAAGGGGATATGCTTCTAGTTCACTGGGCCTGGAGTCCAACGGTCAAATCTACAGAAACAGAGGTTTAAGATAGGGAAGACAAACTACTTGGTGGGGGGTGGTTTACATGACAATTGGTGGCCCCTTTAAGGTCTCTAGGACGGGAAAGGCAGCTCCGCAGCCGCGCGGGCCCCGCCGCGCCTCTCTTGACCCTGATCTTCCCCGGCCCGGGGCCGCTGGAGCTGGAGAAGGGCTACTTTCGTGGCAACATCGCCAAGGGTCTGGGGCTGGAGCCCTGGCAGCTGGTGGCTCCGAGTCCTCATCATTTCTAGACGTAGGACACGGCGCTTTACAATTGGCGTGGAACACAGTGATTTATATATTCGCTAAGAAAGTTGACAGAAAAGAGCTGTGGGGCTGCAGTGCTCTTTGCTGGCTTGCTCCGAGGTTCTTGAGGAGTCATGGAGCCTGATGCAGCCGCGGAAGATCGGGATATAAATGACAACAGGCCTAGCTTCCAAGACAAGATGCGGTTTTGGACATTAGCTTGAGGATACCTATGTCAGGACACGCTTTTCCCTCCCAGATAGATGCTCATAATCCCAGCGTTAGAACGAATTCTCTTAAGGTTTACATTCTAAGGCCTCGTCGGTATTTTACTTTGGGGGTAGAAATAAAATGGAGGGGGCAGGAAATAGGCTGAAATGATTCTCCCTTCGGAAAGCTTTCCTTGTCTGATTATCTTTGGCTGTCGATTAATCTATAAAAGTGAGGCACTGCAAAGCAGATGGTGCGTGAATAGTTTGTCAACAGGTGGACTTCATTGTAGTAGATAGTGACCTGGCCTTTTCTTTGGGCAAATACTGCCCAAATGTCAGTATTTGATTTCTTTTCTCTGCACCACATGGTTTCTTCAGAGGATAATCTTGGAATCTTAACGCTGTGTGGGTATCTGTGAGGGAGATGTGCAGCTTGGATACTGATTTAATGAGATCAAGAATGGGGGAAGAGAGGTGATATTACTGCAGTATATAGATTTTCACATAATTTTCTTGTTTGATGCTATATATTCCTTTATTTGTGTCTGCTTTCTCTGAGTTTGAGCCTTCTTTGGTTCAATTTACCTAGAAAATAAACATCTGTGGGATGGGGAAGGAAGAGTCATCCTAGGGAGGGCTAGGGATCCTGGACATCCAACAGCTCTGAATATACGTCAATGAATCCCATATATCCAGCTGCGTACCTTTCTCCCTTCCTTGGAAACTTCTGCTGCAAACAATGAGCCTCTCACAGGTTCTATATCAAGTGGGTTTGTCTCTCTTTGGTATACTGCCTTTCAGACATTTAGCATGTAACTTACTCTGATCTCTGAATTAATTTATCAGTCCTTCCTCTGCTTTGGCTGTCTGAAAATAGGTTGACATTTTTCAGTCACTGTCTCATCTCTTATTCTTTTTGACCTTGGGGTTTTTTGTTATCTTGGTAAACTTTTTGACATAGAAAAGAGCTATCTGAGAACACTGCCATTTTACACTAGAAAAAGACTTTAAAATTCTTCATGTCATATTTGAGGGATTTAAAAAAATTTATTATACTTTTGTTTTTTTTTTAAGTAAACTTTACCTCCAACTGGGGCTAGACCTCACCAGCCCAAGATCAAGGGTTGCATGCTCTACTGACTGAGCTAGCCAGGTTCCCTGAGGGATTTTTTTGTTATGTTTTGATATTACCCTCAGGAAAGTCAAGGAGAAAAAAAAAAGTATATTTTAATATTTATTGTGGAGGCCCTATCAAGTTATCTAGAAGTGTTTTCAATAGTTCAAGGACCACTGATTGTCAATTAATTACATCTGGTTTACTATTTATTTAAAAAAACACATACTGAGTTTTTACAAACACAAGCCATATAGGAAACTGCAATAAATCATAAACTGCTTTTGAATTAAGTTCATACATATGTTTTGGAGAAGCCAAATTAGTGATCCAGGCCAGGGATCACAAGGGCATTAATAGAGAAATGGTCTATACCTTCATTGAATTGCCAGAATAGTTGCATAAGTAGTAGAGACAGAGATCAAATTCCATGAATTTAACTAAACTGCTGGACTTGGAGAGAACAAATTCCAGCATATATTAGATCACTGCCCAAGATAATAGGTAAGCAACTGAAACCATTTTTTTTTTATTCTAACTAACCAAAATGTTGATGCTTCTTGTTTTAAATTGAAGGACTTCTTCCCAAGCATACATACCAGAAAATAATGGCAAAGAATTTCCAGCTTTTCACTGAAGACCACTACCCTTGACAAGATGAATACCCAAATCACATGCTTCCTAGCAGTTAGACTGAATGGCCAGATAGGATTACCAGAGAAAGTAGGGTGTGAGCTAAAGCCTGAATGACAAAAAGCCGAACATGAGAATATCTGGAGACTGTTCCAAGAAAAGGGAACTGTACACGCTAAATAAAGCTCTGTGGTGAGAAAGAGATTGGCATTTGAAGTACAGAAAAAAGTCCAGTATGACTGCTGTGTAGTGAGCAGTCTTCCTGGTCTATATTTTCACATAGAATTCTTACTGGGTAGTAAAAGATAACCAGAGTTTAAGACACAGTCCTTCAAAGACATGAATTGTCACAATTTGTCCAAATTTTCATCTCAAATAAAAATTTGATCTCCAAATTAAAAATGTCAGGCTTTATGACACTTAGAACTGAATATAAAGATCCCGTTTACCTAGTCTGTAGATAATAATGAAAATTGGATATTGATATGAATGTTTATTGCAGCATTTGGTATAATAAAAAATTTAAAATGAACAACCTAAGTGACCAGCAATAGGGGAGTTTATCTCTTTAAAAATCTGTATCATGGGACGCCTGTGCTCAGTTGGTTAAGCATCTGCCTTTGGCTCAGATCATGATCCCAGGGTGCTGGGATCAAGTCCTGCATCCGGCTCCTTGCTCAGTGGAGAGCCTGCTTCTCCCTCTGCCTGCCGTTCCCCCTGCTTGTGCTCTCTCTCTCTGACAAATAAGTAAAATCTAAAAAGAATAAAAATAAATAAAAATAAAAAATAAAAATCTGTATCATGAACAGAAGCAGTAAATCTATATATCCTGATAGGGAATGATCCTTATATTTTTGAGTCATAAAAATTTTTAGTAGTGTCTACAACAAAATCATATATATTTTTTGCTTTACAAAACTACATAAACATATATAATTAATTGTACACCAAATAAAGTCCTGGAATGATACATCTCAAAATGTTAACAGGCTACTTTAGAAAGTTGGTGTGAAAGGGACTTTACTTTTTGTCTTTTATAAAATCTCTGCACTGTTTAATATTGAAAACTGTAGCCCAGCTACACGCCATACTCATTAGCCAAGGGAACTGTGAGAAAAGTGAGTCCTTTTGGTAACACAGGACTTACTTTAAGGAAAATGGGTCCTAATCTTCTTAAGTTTTTCTCTTTTGAAGTTTACATAAGAGATTGATTACTCTTATGGAGTTAATATTAATACAAAGCCAAACTATAAATATATCAAGTAAAAAACAAAGTTGTAGTAGTTAGCTGAGTCAGTTTTATGCTGCAGATATATTTGAAGTAAACTGTTTCTGCTGTAGATTCTTTCATTTGAAATCAGCCACTTAAAATGGCTTTCTTTATACTTTTCTTTTTGATCATTTTTGAATTCAATTATTTAATCCCTATTATGTTCAGACACTAGTAGTTTGCTTTTATTGTTAATAATGCAGGTGCCCTGCTTTTATTGTTAATTTACTAAGTTTCAGGCATTGTTCTAAGTCCTTTATTATTTTTTTTTAAGGTTTTATTTTATTTGTTTGACATTGAGAGAGAGAGAGTGAGTGAGTGCACAAGCAGGGGGAGCAGCAGAGGGAGAGGGAGAAGCAGGCTCCCCACTGAGCAGGGAGCCCGATGCGGGGCTCGATCCCAGGTCCCTGGGATCATGACCTGAGCCAAAGGCAGACGCTTAACCGACTGAGCCACCCAGGCGCCCCAGTCCTTTATTTGTATCAACTCAATACCCAAGAGCCAACTCAACAGTCCTATGAGGTACGTAGTGTTATCACCTTCATTTTAATGATGAGAACACTAAGGAAAACAGATTACTTGCCCAAGAGCACACAACTAATAGGTCACTGAGCTAGCATACAAACCCAGGCACTGCATCTCTTGAGCTTGAGATCTTCATCTCTTTACTATTCTTTAGTAAGTTTACAGTGACTAACAAGCCACATTGCCTACTTTCGGTGAATTTACAGCCTAGTTGGGGATGAGCCATAGGTAGTTTACACTTCAGTATGATAAATGCATAAGACTATTTATCCCAGCAGGGGTGCTTGGTGGCTCAGTCGGGTAAGCATCTGCCTTTAGCTCAGGTCATGATCCCAGGATCCAGCCCCACGTCGGCCTCCCTGTTCACCGGGGAGCCTGCTTCTCCCTCTCCCCTGCTTGTGCTCTGTGTGTCAAATAAATAAAATCTTTAAAAAAAAAAAACTATCCCTAGCATCCCCTAGGGTGCATTGATATTATAATGGACACTAGATGTTTAGTTCAGTACTTCATATCCAGTGTTTGGTACTTTATGGCACAATAAGTACTTGTGGAATAAAAGGGAAACACAGAGTAGAGGGAAATCCATAATTGAGTTGCTCTAGATGGAGATCAAGAAAGCCTTGCTGGAGTTAGTGATATTTAGTTTGAGAACTGAGGGTTAAGTAGAATTTGGCTAAATGAAAAGGGAAGTCTTCTAGATGTGGACTGAAAATAAGTGAGATGTGGTGAGATGAAGCTGAAAAGGTAATTGGAGCACTCATAATCTTGTGTCTTTTTAAAAATACAAACTTAGTCCTGAAAGCAATGGTGTACCACTGAAGGGTTTTAAGCATGAGAATGACATGATGAAATATATCTTAGGAAGATCACTTTGATGGCCAAGTCAAAAAACTAAATTAGATGGTAAGTGAAAAAAATGTTTATACACACACACACAACCAGTTAGAAAGTTACTGCCATTTGGCAGGGGGATGGAGTAGTGATTGAAGAGCTTTTTAGGAAGTAGACTCAGTAGTCTAAGGGTGAGTAGTCAAAGGTTATGGCTTAAGCTTCTAGCTTCTTTAACTGGGATGGTTGGTAGGGCCATTTATTTTCACTTAGTCCTAAAACAAGGAAGAGCAGGTTTTCAGGGAAAAGGAGGAAATGAGACGAGTTCTATTCTGAACATTTGGAGTTGAGTTGCCTGAGGGATACTTATAAGGGTTTCTAGTACACAGGTGAATATACTAAATCTGAACTCTGAAAGGATCAGGCTTAGAAATAAGGATTTGAGAATCAGCATAGTGCTAGTAACTGAAATGACAGTCACACAATCACTAGACCATTTTGTTACCGTATGCAGCATCTCTCCTTCCTATTATAGATGGAACTCAGCCATCACTGGTGTTGACACCTTCGTAAGAATATTTTGATAAATGCTCACTGTAAAAGGCAAATATGGTGGGAGCTTTTCAGGTATCAAGGCTGTTAGGTGTAGCAAAATACCAATGTACTAAAATGAAATTTATTACCTACCATACTAATGTACTAAGAAAACTTGCTTCTTTATTATTTGCAAACATCAAGAAATAACCCAAAGTTTTGACAGAGAGAAACCTTAAGCCTCCATATCCTGTACTGAAATCTTAATAGTCTGACAACATTTTGGTAAAAGAGAAATGATCAGATAATGTGAGAGAAAAATTAGTGAGATCTCCAAACATTAGCATGTATGATTTTAGACTTGAGAGGTCTGAACAATTTTAACATTTCACCATTGCTGTTTCCAGTCAAATACAAAATTAAAGTGGGCTTAAATATTTGCTTCATGAGGCCAATTTTCAAACCAACCTTTAATCCCAGCCCATCAGAAGTGAATTGCATTCAACTCTGCATTTTGTAAATTTTTTTAGTTTTCAAAAATAGCTCAAGTGTAGGGGCGCCTGGGTGGCTCAGTTGGTTGGGCGACTGCCTTCGGCTCAGGTCATGATCCTGGACTCCCAGGATCGAGTCCCGCATCAGGCTCCCTGCTCTGCAGGGAGTCTGCTTCTCCCTCTGACCCTCCCCCCTCTCATGCTCTCTCTCTCAAATAAATAAATAAAATCTTTAAAAAAAAAATAGCTCAAGTGTAAAGGCATTAGATTAGAATCTTAAGGACATATGATAACTGTAAGAAAATTTGAAATATCCCACTGTAGTGACTTCCTTTTCAACAATTTTGATTAACTGACATGGACATATCAACCTCAGTTCTGAGAATACTATTAAATAATTGCAGGCATTGAAGTTGAAAATATTTAGAAATGCAATCAATCTAAACCAATGGGTTGATTCAGTGAACAGTACTTGATATGATAGCCTTTGTTTTGTTTCTACTATATTAGCCAGATGAGTATAGTGCTTAAAAAAAAAAAGATAGGGGCGCCTGGGTGACTCAGATTGGTAAGCGCCTGCCTTTGGCTCAGGTCATGATCCCAGCGACCTGGGATCAAGTCCCGCATCGGGCTCCCTGCTAGGCAGGGAGCCTGCTTCTCCCTCTGCTGCTGCCTCTCTCTCTCTCTCTGACTCTCATGAATAAATAAAACATTTAAAAAAAAAAGATAAAAATAGACCTTCATGTACAAAACTTAGAGGATAGTTTAGGTAGGTTCTGTACCTAGTGTTTCTTTTTTTTTTTTTAAGTGCCAACTTTTTAAAAAAAATTTTATTGTTATGTTAATCCCCATACATTACATCATTAGTTTTAGATGTAGTGTTCCATGATTCATTGTTTGTGCATGTACCTAGTGTTTCTTAACCTGCAAATGGAACAGGTGGGTTGGAAACTTAAGGCACAAAGATGACATTTCCCAATTTCTTTGACCCTACTGTGTTTTCCTAAAACCCAACATTAACTGCTTCTTTCCCTACAAAATAGGATCAAATCACTCAGCCATTAAACCCCACCAAGAAACCACCTCACAAGAGGATCTGATATCCACTACCCCTAAAAAAGCAAGACACACAATGAGGTGAAAATTAGTTGCTTTTATTTATTGTGCTAAAACAGCGTTATGAAATGATGTGCAACCCTATGTACATAAGAATGCTTTGAATAGCTGGGAAAATAGCTACCACTTCATGGGAAAACATGCAAACTAGCTTCAATCTGCAGACTTGACTCCGCTTACTGATCTTGGATGGCATCACAGACAAACGCTTAACAGCCATTTATGGCAAATGGAGAAACAGCAAAGTCCTGCGGTGAAGCTGTGATTACTAAGGTTGAACTGTTTATTCCACTAATCCTACAATTTTCCTACAATCATTTATCTGTCTATACATTCCTACTTCCTAAAGGATAAACAGCAAAGTGGTTCTGACAGAAAATGAGATAGCAATTCACATGTGTATTTGTCTGTAAGACAAATTCAGTAGAAGACAGTGGAGAAAATGAGAACTACTGCACAGTTAAATCTAGTCCAAGTGATGAAACCAAGATTCTTCTTTCAATGCTGAGCAGCCTAAGGAATGAAATTATGAGAGCTCTTCTCACTTCTCGAGGAGTGATTCCAGCTCTTCTTGCAAAGAGCTGAGCTGTGCCTTTTCTCGGTCTTCCTTTTGTTTGAGTTCATCCAGCACAGCCTGAAATCTGTTCTTGAGAGCCAGGTTTTCCACTTTCATAATGAGATCCTCCTGTCGTTTTGCCCTATCCTGGGTTTCTTGGAGTTTGCCTTTCATGTTATCAATCTGTTTCTGAATTCCCATAACCAGCTGATTGGTTCCCTCATTTTCTTGGTGCTGTTCATCTGATTCATTCAGCTTGTCACGTAGCTGTCTTTCCAGATCTTCCTCAGTGTCGATGATGTTTATATCTTCTTCATCTTGATGCTGCGTCTCATCTTCATCTTCACTGCTGCTGCTGAGGTCATTGAATATCTCCCGAAGCTCATCATGTTCTAATGAGTCATGGCCCTGCCTGTGACCAGACATTCCTGGAGAAGATATATCAAGGCCTTGATTTTCTGTTTCTTTTGTTTCATCTTCAGCAATTATCTCCCAACGAGTACTCACAGCTTCAGCATCTGTACTTAGCAACCGCTTCACTTCCTTCTCCACATCTGGAGATTCAATATACTTCTTCTTTGCTGTCTTCCGGAACCTTCTCTTTCTGACATTTTTTAGAGGCAGAGTAATTCCATGGTTCCATATAAACTTTTTCTCTTTGTCCTTATCCTTTTTCTTGCTTGCTTTGGGATCAGTAGTAGCAACTGGTTCCTCCACAGGAGGATAGAGATCACCATCAACCGTGGAGACAAGCATCTGACATATATCAGCTGTCTTGTAAAAGGTTTTTTTATCAATGGTTTTCAAACTTTCCATAACACACGGCAGATCTACCAATTTTGAGGCCAGTGGGACCCGGTCCACTCTGACTATTCCATGACGTCCATCAGGGTGTAACTCAATTGTCAGTCTGTCCTTTAGGTTGACATGACCAGACTGTACTGCCCGCCTCACAGTAGAGGCGTATTCAGGAGGTAGCCGTAAGATAAACTGGCTCTCTAGTTCATGAGGAGCATCATCTTTGCTCTTACTCATCTTTACGTCTTTGAGACTCACTTCTCTAACAACCACTTGTTGCACTAAAAGTTCCAGCTATTGCCAACAATTAGAAAGACCAGTTTGTTACGAACTGAAATCCTTAATTACAAAAAAGTTTAAAGCAGAACAGGGCTAAGCGTCTATTCTGTCTTAATTTTGAATTAAGGCCCAAGTCTTTAGAAACACGTTGTGACTAAATTCCAGTCGTTAGGAACACTAATCAGTTAGGTCCACTTAAATCTATTAGCTGCAATGCAAGTTCCGACCTCTAGATGCCGCTGCCGGACAATGCAGACGGAGCTAGCTAGCAGGAAAGCAAATGGCGGCTTCTGCGGAATGATTTTTGACACAAAAAGTAAGGCCCAGCAGACACTCCCAATCCACAATCTCTCCCAGAACAAAGGTATTCAAAAAGCAGGACGCAGTAAGCTTTCTTCGCCTTGGGTACTTACAATCCGGTGACGATTATAAACCCAGCTTCTCCGCTTCTCCGAACAGGAGCGAGCGGCAAAGAAAGCCACTCAGAGCAAGACGGCCGGGAGCCGAGCGTCTCCTTCTTTATTCCTTTGTTCTTCCCGGGTCTTAGGAAAGTGATCCGCTACCGATTATAACGAAATGCCGACGACAGGCAGTGCGAAATCTCGCCGAGATCCGCAGCTCGCAGCGCCAGACTCGGAACCTCCGCAGCCCGGCAACTCAGCGTCTCTCACTCCGGAGCTGCAGAACCAGCGGAGAAGAAAGCGCTATGTCACACCCCCGGGCGGGAAAGGCGGCTGTGAGTGACAGCACGACTAAAGCGGAAGTGCGTGTTGCTCCAGCGCGCGCAGGCGCAATTACGCTATCCGGGGACTTGGCCTCTCGCGAGAATTTGACTTAACGCGAGAAAAAGATAATGTGTGTGTTTTTTTTAAAGAGATACAGGTTTGGAAAATATTTAAAGGCAATGCTTGCAGAAAAGATATAGACCCTCCGCTAAGCCAGAACTTTTACCGGTCGCCGTGGGTCCGGATAGCCCCTAGGCTTCTGAGTGATTGCCGGAGATAGGGCATTCGTGCGGAAAGCGTCTTTGCCTTTGGAAACGTCTCGGATGCTCCCCACGGTATATCCAAATCTGGAGCAGATACAAGAAATTATAGTTAACCATATAGTGGATTGTAAAGTACCCAAATAAGTGGAGTGAGAAGGACATGCTGACCGCTATATAATTCTAAGTATATGTTTTGTTGATTATGAAAATGCCCTGAGGGGACCCATGCCTTAGGGACTGTTTTTGTTTTGAAGGACCCCAAGGCAACATGGGTGATATTTCTTTTTAATACGTTTGACGTGGATATAAATGTAAACAGAGAAGTAAGTGTTCTGCTGGAGGCACATACTCGTTTAGGACAGAGTTGTCTGACGAATGATCTGATTGAAGTAGAATAAAGTTGAAGTGTTACTCCCTATCACGCTTTTGCCTGTAATTTTTAAGTTAGGAATTTTTTCTCATTCCACGTCTACTATTTTGAAACTGTTTAATGCTTGTCTCTTCTATGGGTAGTGAGGTATTCATTTGCATGTTTTGTAGTATTTAGGCCTAAATATGTAACAGTTTCCACTTGCACCTATTCATTTCCATTCATTTTTTAATAGGATCAGTTTGGTAAAGCATCAAGGTCTTTAAAATTTTATTTCTATCTTCTAAAATATGAACTGCATATAAATTTAAGAGAACTCACCTAAAATGTGGTTAATACTTTCAAAATTTGCTTTATTTCTTAAGGCACTTACTATCTCTGTTGCCCCAGATTGGAAGCTCTGCGATAATCAGTTTTTGGTTTCCTGTGTTCATTGTGTCCCAGTGCCTAGTACCAAAACATGGGAGACACACAAAAAATACTTGCTAATTGAATGAAACAGTTGATCCATGACATAATATATAATGACATATAGTCTAATTCCAATAATAATTTGTGAAAGAAAATACATTCTGAGTCACCTTAAAATGAGATAGATCTACTTTATATACATTTTCTCTCTAGCCAAGGACAGTGCCAATTGTGAGTGGAGAGGTTTGCTAAAAATGTGTGTGAATGTGTCTTCTTTGGTTTAGGTAGACTGTGATACTGTGTATCATGGGAGGAAATTAAAATGGCCTGACACCAGTTTGGTTTTTTTGTTAAGTTTGAAGGAGAAATTACATTCTTCCAAATAACTGCATTAGTTTTCTTTGTTGAAGAATGTTAGCTGATTTAACTATAATTTCCAGGATCATCTATTTTCTCTTTTTGAAGGTGAACTTTTTTTCACTGTGCTGTCCCTTAATTATACCTGGTTTTACTTATTTTATACATATAAGAGGATATCTGCTGGCCTCTGCATAGAACTTTATTTAACCATATAAAATGTAAGGACATATATGATATAATGTAATGACATATATGAAAATAATCCAAATATTGCTTTGCATTTTATTTTTTTAAAGATTTTATTTATTTATTTGACAGAGACACAGCGAGAGAGGGAACACAAGCAGGGGGAGTGGGAGAGGGAGAAGCAGGCTTTCCACTGAGAAGGGAGCCTGATGCAGGGCTCAATTCCAGGACCCTGGGATCATGACCTGAGCCGAAGGCAGACGCTTAACAACTGAACCACCCAGGCGCCCCGCTTTGCATTTCAATTGCCTGGTTTTATGATGCTCAAATATCCTTGTCATAGATAATAACTTAAGATAAATTCTATGTAATTCTGATCTGCCAAAATTATGATATATTTTGGTTACTAACCTTTAAATGGAATATTGTCAGAGATAATTAAAAGGATTAACTGAAGTTTCCCCTAAAGTAACTACCTCCTTCAATCCTGAAACATATTTTCTGCTTTTGAGTTTAACACATTTTGTAAATGCTGTTTTTCTGAGGGAAAATTACATTGACCCTAAAACTAAGGGCTCTACCACATCACCCATTACCCTAATGTCTATTGATAAATCCAGGTTTTTTAAAAAATCAAGTCCATTAGGCATACAGAAACACTATAAATTGATAAAGGAATTACACTTCTGTGGTTGTTCGATGAAATATCTGTGATACTAGCAAACCAAAGATTTGGGGAGAGCAAAAAATTCTCCAGTGAGGTAACAAGTCCTCCAAAGACTTCCTTCCTATAATAAAGTATCACAATCAGGCTAATGCTGTATGTTTGAAAATTCCCTTTAATAAACTTTCAAGTTCCTTATATTGTGGAAATTAAAAAATTATGAGTGATGGAAGCAGCCCTGCTTATATTTTAGAGATCAAAAATTATAGGGGTGAGGAAATTGCAAACACCCCAAAAAAGTATACTTATATACTGGTATATCATTATATAAACATATATAAGCTTATCAGGGGTGCCTCCCTGGCTCAGTAGGTAGAGCATGTGACTCTTGACCTTGGGGTTGTAGGTTTGAGTCCCACGCTGTGTGGGGAGATTACTTAAAAATAAAATCTTAAAGGGGCTCCTGGCTGGGTCAGTTGGAGGAGCATCCAACTCTTGATCTCGGGGTCATGAGCTTGAGCCCCATATTGGGTATAGAGAGAGATTACTTAAGTAAGTAAAACAAAACAAAAAAAATGAAATCTTAAGGAAAAAACAGGTTAGCTAAAATGTAGCAGTCTTCTGTATCAAATAGAATGTTTTTTTAAGATTTTATGTATTTGAGAAAGAGAGAGCAAGGTTAGCTAAAATGTAGCAGTCTCCTGTATCAAATAGAATGTTTTTCTAAGATTTTATTTATTTGAGAGAGAGAGAGAGAGCAAGCATGAGCTGGGGGAGGGGCAGGTAGCCCGATGTGGGGCTCCATCCTAGGGTCCTAGGATCATGACTTCAGCCAAAGGCAGACGCTTAACCAACTGAGCCACCGAGGCACCCCAAGTAGGATGTTTTCTATAGAAAAAAAGACCAACCTAATTTACGCTGATTTAAACAATTAGAAATCTGTTATCTTTTTTTAATAATTTTTTTATTATGTTAGTCACCATACAGTACATCATTAGTTTTTGATGTAGTGTTCCATGATTCATTGTTTGCGTATAACACCTAGTGCTCCATGCAATACGTGCCCTCCTTAATAGCCATCACTGGGCTCACCCATTTCCCCCCTGCCAAAACCCTCAGTTTGATTGCTGGAGGCCATAGCCTCTCATGGGGAGAATATCTGTTATCTTAAAAACCAGATGGTCTAGAGCAGCTCCGTCCAATAGAAATATATTGTGAGCCACAGATTAAAGCCACTGATGTGATCTTAAATTATCTAGTAACCACATTAAAGTGGTAAAAAGAAACGTGAAATTCATTTAAATAATTTTATTTACCTTAATGCAAACTATCATTTCCACATATAATCAATGTAGTAATTATTAATGATACATTTTACATTCTTATTTTGTACTAAATCTTCAAAACCTGGTGTGTATTTTACACTTATAGCACATCTCAATTTGGACTAACCATATTTCAAATGCCCAGGGGCCACATGTAGCTGGTGGTTACTGTATTGGACAGTGCGATTCAAGTATGGTGCCTTCTAGGCATGATAGAATTATGACCTGAGACAAATTGTTTTCCTCTTCCTAATTTTGGAGAACGATCATTTATTTATACTTTTTCTGTTATTCTTCCAGCTTTGCCCTCATCTTGTAAACTTCTAAAGTCTGTGGTCACAAGAAATCTTCCAGCAGTAACCAGGGAACTTCCTTCCTTGTCCATGGTAAGTTCAGAGAGTGGCTCCGCCAACCAAAGTTCATCTTCCAATCTGATTGGACCAATTAAGATCATATACCTATCCCTGGCACAACAGTAGTCACCAGGAGACTACCCTGAGCCATACCATTTTCAGTATGGTGGGGAGGAGGTGACATTTGGTAATGTCTGAAGACATTTTTGATTGTCACAACTATGGGAGTCGGTCTACTGGTATCTAGTGTGTAGAGGTCAGGAATGCTGCTAAATATCCTACAATACACAGAACAGCTTTCTTCCCCACAACAAAGAGTTATCTGGCTCAAAATAGTACCATGGTTGAGTCATCTTATTAAGTCTGTATTCCTAAGTAAACTGGCAAGAGGAATGAGACTATCATTATTGGTTTAGATCTATTAGAACCTATTATAACTATGAATAAGGTTTAGCTTCCCGTTTCAGAGGATGGGCCTCTAAACTAAAAAAGAAAATGTCAGAAGAGAGCAAAGGGCATGGATAACTGTCTTAGTCCATTTGGGATACTGTAACAAAATACCATGAACTGAGTGGCTTGTAAACAACAGAAATTTATTTCTTAGTTCTGGAGCCTGAGAAGTTGGAGATAAAGGTGCCAGCTGATTTGGTGTCTGGGTGAGGGCAAGCTTCTGGGTTCATAAACCGCAGTCTTTTTACTGTAACTCACATGGTGGAAGGGGTGAGGGAGTTCTCTGCAGCTTCTTTTACAAAGCACTAAAGCCATTCATGAAGACTGCACCCTCATGACCTAATCACCTCACCAAAGCCCTACCTCCAGATACCATCACACTATAGGGATTAGGTTTCAACGCAAGAATTTTGAGGGGACACAAATACCAGTCTATATAAGCTACCAGTAGTATCCATGAAAGAGCTGATTATTTGGGGGGTTATAATGGCATATGTGTAATTCCAAAAAAGTTACAAGTGGACAATAAGCACATGAAAAGATGCTCACATCATTAATTGTTAGGGAAATGCAAATCAAAACAATGAGATACCACCTTACACCCATTAGGATGGCTACTATAAAAAACCCAAAATATATGTTGATGGGGATGTGAAA